CCGCCAGAGAAGATCGGGGCTCTAAGCACCCTGCGGAGCTCTTCGATCCCCGGCATTTTGACGACGCTGAGCGGGTAGATCAGTTACTACGCCGGTTGACTACCATTACGGAGGTCCTCGAGCCGAAACCGGCGGAGGTGGCTATTGCAACGAGTCATCTACCGACGGGAAAAGACTGGCGCCACTCCAGCTTTTCGGAGACCTGGATAGATCCCTAGCGGGCGGACTCGACGCCAGTTCCGCGACAGCGACGCGCGCGACCGCGGAGCAGTCGCATCTTTGGGGGTCCGGATGACGACGCGGGCGCTGCAACCCGCCGCCGCCATCCGGGCGAAGTGCCCCAGCGGTGCGTAAACCGCTCCCGGGGGGGGCGGGGGGGGGGCCGCGCTGCGCGGCCCAGAAAAATACGATTCGAACGCAGGCGATTCGGGGATGCCCCGGCGGGGCCCCGCGCGATCCGCGAACGCGTCAGACGCGAATTCGACCCGGCATCTCGCCTCTACATCCCGAGAGAGGCCGCGACGCAGGAGTGCGTCGCAGAGGGGGCGCGCCGCCCACGAGCCGGCTCGGAGCGCGGGGGCCGGGGCCCGCCGTCGGCCGCCGGGCGCCGCGCACGTGGGCGGCGAGCGCACAGCAGTGCACGGTGCGATTTCCGCCGCCCCGAACGGGCTTGCGAGCTCTTCAGCTCTCCCAGGGGCGCCCCCAGTCCGCATGCGCGCAAAATGTCAGCCACGCGCAGCGGGGGGCAAGGGGGGGGGGCTTCTTAGAAGCACCCCTGCTTCTTAGAAGGCGCGGGCCTGATCTGTAGATGCGAGGCCGGCGCCTTCCAAGAAGCAGCCTCCTTCTAAGAAGCCCCCCCCCCCCCTCTCGATCCACCCCCTCGTGCGCGCCGCCAAAAATGAATTAGCTGCCGCTGCGATGACCATGCTGAATGACGCTCTGCGCTTTGCAAACGCCGGCCCCTCGCGCAGCGGGCGCTGCAAATGCGACCCGGAGTTTCTGGTGGTCGATGCGCTCTACAGCATGGCGGCCTTCGGCCGCGACTAAATCATTTGGCCGCGCGCCTGACGCGACGCGGCCGTCGGCGCGGACATGGCGCGAGCAACTCGCGAGTTTGGGCGCGTCCGCTTCCATTGCCTGGATGAGCCAGCCCTTCGTTGGCCAAGGGATGCCGATGGAGGAACTCCGGGACTTGCGCCCCCAAGCGGATAAAGGGCCCCCGAGCGCAGCGCAAGGGGCGCATGGTGGAGATTCCACCGCCAGATACAGCCAATCGAGTTTCTGCTAAGCTGGTGGAAGCCGGCGAGAGCTGCGCCACCGGATCGGCATTGGGATTGCGCGCGCTAGATGAGTTCATGCCATACCACAATGGGCGCAGGCTTCGTCGCGCCTGCGATGGCGATTTCGGACGAAACTCGATTCGGGCGAAGCACTTGCTTGAATTGCCAGCCCATGTTGAACAAGCGCCCAGTGCTTCAGTTCGTGAAGACGCCCGCGTATATAGCATTCACGCTACCCTCATATATGGTAGACCGCGCTGGTGGCGCCATGAACTCCGTCCTGTGTTTGTTGCAGGTGGCCGCCCATGTCGCGATGAGTCCGCGGGGGCGAGGGCTGCCCCGGCGTCTTTCATTCGAATGTCAAGGAGGTCGGGGGAGGAGAAAATGGTGGGCATAGCAATGAACGCATTGATTCTCCCTGCCGTGACTTTCGCGCGCTCTTGCTCGCTCTTCCCCCTGCCCGCCGTGCCGGGTTGTGTGAACCATCAGGTTTACAAGTTGGCCGGCGATGGAGTTGAATGTGATTGGTTTTCAGCGCATGCCCAGATGCCGAAAACATACATTAGGTGCGCATTGCCCTTCCAGTCAAGACATTCTGTTAGCGACTACGAGACTGTCGGATCTTGCGCGCCCCGAGCGTGGCGGAGTGCGCAATGGAGGGCGAGGGTTAGCTGTCCATCGCGCTCGCATGCACAACGCTCGGCCGTTCGCGGATGTGGCTGACTTGAAGTGTCCGTCGCGCGGTCAGCGATTCGCTCGTTGCGGCGCGTTGCTCCGTCATGCTCGCTTCCGATGCGCGTCGACCGTTGAGGCTCGGGTTCAAGCATTGCAGGTTCCTGCGGCCCCGCTCTCCCCCGCCCCCGGAGCGGCGCTGGCGCCGATGCGCCCCGCGGCGGCGCAGCGGGGACTTGCTGTGAGAGCGCCTCATGGCGATGTCCGGCGAGCGGGGGTCGGCGGCGGAGGCGGTGGAGGCAGCGGCGAGCGCGGGCGACAATCGCAGGAGGAATGGCGAGGACAAGGCGGACGTCGAGTTAAAGGGCAAAGACGCGCGGGAAGGGAAGCTGGCCATGGCGATGGCGAGTGCGCGCCCCAGCTAGTGGACGAGAATCGCAGCGCGGCAGGGTCGACAACCTAGTGATTCAGGCGGCGGTGTAAAGTCCGTGCGCCAAGCTCATGCGCAAGTTTGAGTCGGAGTACTCTGAGGAGGGAGCTTTCGCGCGGGAAAGGCAGGGGAAAATGGTGCTGACTTCCGCTGGCATCCTCACAGGGAGAAGCCAGGTGTTGGGCCGTGCTTCGATGATCAGCTTATTACAGTATCTTCAACAACCGTCAGTGAGTGAGAACATTGGTGCTACTGGCGCGTTGCTCCAAGCCATCGGGAACATCGCTGCCTTTGGCGAGTCTGCAAATATCGATGATAACAGAGGTTGTCTCCGCGCATTCCGCGTCGAGGTCGAGGTCAAGGGCGGTGCAATGGATAAGTCGGTGTTCTACTTCCCCCGCGAGCCTGTGATAAACAACCTTCGTATCTTGGTGCTCGATGAGACGCTTGAGACAGTGGGCCTTTCGATTCAGCCAGACTTTGCACCCAGGACGGCCGCCGCGAAAGAGGTGGCCACGCTGGCGCTCAAATCCAAGAGTGCGAGGGGCGGCTCTGCCCTTAAGGAAGCAGGCCACGAGGGGGGCTTCAGTGAGTTCAAATAGTGATGGTGGGTCGCGAGTGGCCGGCGAACTGCGCAGAGGTGCGGTGCTGGCCGCTCGCGGCAGAGCTTGACCGCAGAGGCGGCCAGAGCTGTGGGCGGTGCATCCTTCTCGCTCGCAGTGTCACATACACGTTATGAAAGCCTCGCTTCAAGCCTTCGCAAACAAAAACGTCACCATACACACCTGTATATACGTACACATACATACATTCGTGTGTAGACATCTGTATTTATGTATGTATGTCTGTATGTATGGATGCTTATAGTTACGACGTATACAAATATACCCACACACGCACACACATCCACATATTTCTCTCTCTCTCTCTCTTTTTCTGTCTTTCTCTCTCTCTCTCTCTCTATATATATATATATATATCAACATATATCCGTCAGGGCTTCGCCCCCTGCCGCCGGCCCCCTCTCTCGGAGAATGGACCATGGAAGAGCGAAGTCATGAGGCTTCGGCTTCGCCGTGAAGCAGTGTCGGGACCTGTTTGTTTTTCGACCCTGACCCTACGGATCTGCGTCACGGATGCCACCGAATTTCAGAAATGTGCCAAATCCCGTGTGTTTTTGGACCCTGACCTTGCGGATCTGCGCGAGAGGTGCCACCGAATGTCAGAAATGTGGCAAATCCCGTGTGTTTTTGGACCCTGACCCCGCCGATCTGCGTGAGGGGTGCCACCGAATGTTAGACATGTAGCAAATCCCTTGTGTTTTTCGACCCTGACCCTGCCGATCTGCGTGAGGGGTGCAAGGAAATTTAAGAAATGCGGCAAATCCCTTGTGCTTTTTGCCCCTGACAGCGCCGATTTGCGTGAGGGTGTGAGGGAATTTGAGCAACGTGGCAAATCCTTCATGTTTTTGGACCCTGACCCCGCCGATCTGCATGAGGGGTGCCACCGCATTTCAGAAAAGTGGCAAATCCTTTATGTTTTTAGACCCTGACCCCGCCGATCTGCGTGAGGGGTGTAAGGAAATTTGAAACATGTGACAAATCCCTTGTGTTTTTGTTGACCCTGACCCCGCCGATCTGCATGAGGGGTGCAACCGAATTTCAAAAAAGTGGCAAATCCCTTGTGTTTTTGGACCCTGACCCCGCCGATCAGCGTGAGGGGTGTAAATTTTCACCCCCCCAGGAATTCTGAGAACCCTCCCGGGGGGTGCTAACCAGGGCACTTTTCGGCTCCCCCCCCTCGCGCGGACAGTAACAATTTACAGTAGGAAGCAGACAGCAATACTGTAACAATGGAAACTGGAAACTGGAACTGGTGCAGGAAGCAGCAAGCCTAATCCTCGCAGCCTGATGGCCCCGCAAGGGGGCCGGCGGACTTTACATACGCATATAGATGTATACGGTTACGCATGCATGCGTTCTATGTGTGTGTGTGTGTCACTACAGGTTTACACCTGCGCGTTTCTACACAACTAAGTACATAGGTGTGCCTACGCATATACATACTGTATACGCTAGCCAGCGCTGACCCTGGACATTGGTGTTGTACCATCCTCGTGGTGCAGGATGGGTGGCGCAGTCGAATGTGTACAATCCATGAGGTACAGCCGATGTTGCGCCTCGCAATGCATCGCGTGGCCAGGCGAATGCGAAGCCGTACTATGCGGTCGCAGAGCAGCGCAGTGCGACTGCGAGGCGATGCGAAGCAGCGCCCACCAGCACAGTGCCATGCAGCGCACAGTAGCGCAGCGCGGCGCAACGCAATTCAAGGACGGCGGGGTGGGCGGCGACGGCAGGCCACAAGTCGGCGGGACCGACAATCAGTTCGTCAGAGAGGGCGTCCTCCTCCTCCTCCTCCTCCTCCTCCTCCTCCTCCTCCCCCTCCTCCTCCTCCTCCTCCTCCTCCTCCTCCTCCCCCTCCTCCTCCTCCTCCTCCTCCTCCTCCTCCTCCTCCTCCTCCCCTCCTCCTCCTCCTACTCCTCCTCCCCCTCCTCTTCCTCCTCCCCCTCCTCCTCCTCCTCCTCCTCCTCCTCCTCCTCCTCCTCCTCCTCCTGCTAGGCCAAGCTCGACCAGCAGGCGGTCGCGGCCGCGCCTCCACCGTCGCCCGCGCAGCCGGGCGAGGAGGGCGCACGGGCAGGCCTGTGCCGCGGCGGCCTGCCTCGTCGTGGTCGTCGCTTTTGTCGTCGTCGTGGTCGTCGCCCGCGTCGAGGCTGCCGCTGCCGCCGCCATCCTCACGGTCGTGGTCGTCGTCGTTGGAGCGGCCGCTGCCATCACGTGCTGTGGCTGTGCGTTGCCTGCTGGCCGGGGCGGTGCCTGCTTCTTCGCGATGGCAGCGTGCCAAACTAGACCGGGCGTTGTCGTCGTGGTTGTCGTCGTCGTCGTCGCGGTCGTCGTCGTCGTTGCGGTCGTCACAGGTAGGTTGAGGAGCAGGGAGGATAGAAGATGAAGGAGGCTGGAGTGGAGGGGGGAGGAGGAGGAGGAGGAGGAGGAATAGGAGGAGGAGGACGAGGAGGAGGAGGAGGAGGAGGAGGAGGAGGAGGAGGAGGACGACGATGGCGGAAGCGGGGGGAGCAGCAGCGTTTGTCTCGTTCCTGGAGGCGCTTGGGCGTTCTGCCTCGGAAGCCCCCAGAGGGCGTCTGGGTGGTCTCATGGCGGTGTTGGAGGAGCCCTCAGGGCGAAAGGGGAGGGGGCCCGAGCACCGTGTAGCTTGTCGGGCGCGGAGTTTTTCTGGCGAGAGCACGTTCGACCGAGTCGGGCGCATGCCTAACAGGGGCATTGGATATCGGGTCGGATTTTGCGTCATGGCCCCAGGTCGTAGGCACGGCACGCCCTGGGTCCACAAAGTGTCCCGCTCGATGACGGTGCGCCCCAGGACGGTCAGCACTCCAGGCCTCCCAGGTAAAGCAACACGGGGAACACTCTCGTATGCTTTCCGTGCTAGACTTGGCAGGTCCAGCAAGTGAGGAACGTTCATAGGATTCTCCTTTGATTATGACAGCTCGAGTCTTCTTAGGCCCAGGGCGAACTGGGTTCTCGCCGGTCCAGGTATCCAAGGTCTGCAACATGTGGCAGGGGCCCAAGGCTCCCACGATTTCAAGTCCTTCAAGTCCAGAGTCTCCATCCCAAGTGCACCACATCAGTGGAATTCGCGGGATCCGTTCTGGATCATTCGTGTCCTGCTGTTTGGGTGCTTCACCGTGATATTGTCTCTTGCGGGGACCTGTCTCCTCGTGTACCCTCAGCTTGAGCGGTCAGTGCCCGCAGCTATTTTGTCCTAGGTGGCATGTGGCTCACGGTGGATAGCCAACACTCAACACAGCTTCCGTAAAACGTACTGGGCGACTGGTGATGGCCATCCGTTTGCGCTGGCGCGCGCCTATAGCCGCCACCGTGAGGGGTGCCGAGGTGAGGCGCTGGGGGGGGGGGGGGCCGGTGGACGGAGGGAGGATCCACGAAGTGCGTTGCGCGGGAGTTGGCTGCTGATTCTGTTGGAGAGCGTAGGTGACAAGGGTCAGGAGGGAAAGAAACACACAGACACAATTAATCGGCGATTCCCAGAAAATATGGGAAAATATGGGAAGTGGGGGGGAAGACAGAAACCCAGAAAATATGGGAAAATATTGTGGATATTTTTATTTGTGTGTATTTATTTGTGTGTTCCAGTTCCCCTTCAAAGGGGGGGAACCGAACAATCGAGCGCAAGCCCTGCGCGCGAGCAGGTTTCAGCAGGAGATAGGCAGTGCCGAACCGCAGCAGTATCTGCAAAGGGATCCCTTCTGTACGGCCGACTGTCAGGAAGCCGCTGCCCTGCCGTCGCGACAGGAGATTGCAGACAAGGCTTCCCAGGAACCAACCACGGACGGCCAAAAGACGCACAAATACTATAAACAGTGAGCGTTCGGGAGCATGACCTCGACGCGCGTGTGGCCGAACACTTTGGACCAGCCCTGTGGCTCTCTTACAGTCATGTTTGGGCCTTCTCGTCGCCGTCTGAGGGACCATCTTGGAGCCATCTTGAAGGGCCTTCTGGGGCCATCTGGGGATCTCCTTGTAGCCTTTTCAATCTTCTCGGAGGCCTCCAGAGCCAATTCTGGGCTACCTCAAGCCCAGAAGTGAGCAATGCTTATAACAAGAAAACGGCTACCTAACCAATTCTGGCCATGTTGATGCACTCCGCGAAGCCATCTTGGAGCCTCTGTTCGTATCCTGGGGCCGTTTATCAGTAAATGCTAACTAAGTATTTCCTCGGCCATCTTCAGCACGTTGGGGCGCGCCGAGCCGTTCGTGGGCCCCTCGGGGTGTCCATTTGGGGCTCATGAAGTAGCCAAGCGGGGCCCCATTGCCCGCAACTCGGCCTGAACAGGGCTCGTGTGGGGGGGGGAATCCCAGCGGGTTGACGTTGGAAAAGAGGGGTCGGGATTTCAAGGTCCGAAGTACGGTAGAGGGAAACAATTATATAGTGAACACCCCCCCTGCCCCCCAACTCAAAGTTGGCACGCGCGTGGGAGACTGCGGTCGAGGCGCAACTCATCAGACCCACCGCCAACTTTGAACATTGGAGGGAGGGGGAGGCGTTCACAGATGACTGTGGCATGAGTGTTCGCTATTTTGTTCATCACCGCTTGACATCATGGCACGCGCTGCGCGGCGCAGGCGCGGTGGCGGGTTCCACTGACGTTGTTTTATGTCGGTGTTACGTTCGGCGGCTGTCTGACGAGTGCCCGCGCCATCCATGCGAGCGCCGGTGATGACGGACGATGTCGTGGTGTGGTTCGGACCGACATTGACACGTGCTTTCCCGACGGGGGGTGTTGTCCGAGGCCTGTGCTTCTGAAGGAGGACGTCGTGGTAGGCGATTGGTACGGCCGCATCGGGAACAATCTGATCCAGGTCGCCCACGCGATATTCGTGGCGAAGCTGTCCGGAAAGCGGAGCGTCACCCTGCCCAGTTCGGACGTCGACCATTTCGGGGTCCCGACGCCGATAGGTCAGGAGGGAAAAAAACACACAGACACAATTAATCGTCCACTCCCAGGAAAATATAGGAAAATATGGGAAGTGGGGGGGAAGACAAGAAGCCAGAAAATATGGGAAAATATGGTGGATATTTTTATTTGTGTGTCCCAATTCCCCTTCAATAGGGCAGATGTTCAAGTTCCCGCAGCGCCTCGACATCGAGCTCGACGAGGAGTTCAAGAGCAGGGCCAGCTGCTCGGAGAGCACGGGCTTTTACTACCTCCTGGCGTGTCGGGGCGTGGTGCGGGCAGACTACACGAGCGTGCTGCGGGCCTACGTGCTGCCGCACCTGGCCCCCGAGGCCCGCGGCGCGTGCGAGCGCGAGGCGTCGAACACGAAGCACGAGCTCGTGATTCATCTCCGGTCTGGCGACGCGATGTTTCGCGACCCGCCGCATCCTCAAAAGTCAAGGTTCGCGCCGTGCGCGTTCTTTGAGGCCGTGGCCGACGAAGCCGAGGTGAGCTTCGAGGGCGTCCGCGTCATCACGGAGCCGGACCAGAAGCATCCGTGCCTGGGCTTCTTCAGGGAGAAGAACTGGAATTTCACGGTGCAGTCGGAGTCTTTGGCAGCGGGAGCAACAAAACGGTACAGATATCCGGCCATACCTTCGTGCAGCCCCCTCCAACCAGCTCCGTGCCACCTCTTTCCTTCCACGCGGGTGGTGTAGATTCAGAGCCCCGAATCATCAGGGGTAATTCGGGTCAGGGCTAACTCGGGTCCGTTTTTCGGGAATCCAAGCCCGAGTAGCCCTGGGCCCGAGTTACCCCGGATAACTCGGGCGTCCAGAGCCCCAAATCATCAGGGATACTTCGGGTCAGGGCTAACTCGGGTTCGTTTTTCGGGAATCCAAGCCCGAGTTACCCCGGGCCCGAGTTACCCCGGATAACTCGGGCGCCCAATAGATGTAGACTCTTGGCGCTTCGCCGACCCCCCCACCAACCCATCCAGAAACGATCCCCGCTGCCCTGATCGGGAGAGTGTGGGAGCATGCGGCGGAACAAAGAGAGTTGAGGCAAGCATCAAGCCGAGGCTCCGGATCAGCCTGATCACATCCGCGAGTGGACTTGTTGAGCTGGCTCGCGTCGAGCACAAAAGCCTCTGTCTACAATGCAAAGCCCTTGCGTGTGATGACTCTGTTTGAGCCTTTCGAGCACTCTTTGGGCCATCTTGGAGGACATGTATCACACATAGAGCGGCGTGACGTAACGCTGCCCCCCTGGAGCAAGACAACTGGCCTCTTGGAGCCCTCTTGGGGCGCTCTTGGGTCGGTCTTGGGCGCTCTTGGAGCCGTCTTGAAGCCTGTATCTTGAGGCCTGAGGTGCCCATCTGATGCGAAAGGCGAGAAGGCAAACATCATCGAACAACTTGAAGTTCTTGACAATGACGCTCTCCTCTCGGGGGTACCCTTGGGAGGCTCCGTGGCCACCTGGAGCCGTCCTGGAGCGCTGCTGGGCCTCCCTTGGCGGGCATGCTGGGGGCCATCTTGGGCCAGCTTGGGTCAGATTGTGTCATGTTGGAGATCACCCTGAGCTCTCCGAGGCCATGTTGGAACCATCATGGGTTGATAGGGACCCTCCGACACCTCGGGCCCCTCCCCCGTGCAGACCCAGAGCATGGACTGCCCATCACAAGGCGGGCGGCCCCTTCACGTTTCTGGGCGCGACGGGGGGGGCGTGCTGCGGACTCCACGACGGCCCAAGACGCCGCCGAGACGGCCCAAGACAGCCAGACAAGACCAGGCAAGGGAAGGCAAGACAAGACCAGACACGACCTGGCACGATACGCCAAGACAGCCTCCAGGTCGGCCCAAGATGGCCTTAGGACGCCGAAAACAGGGGCCCAGAGAGGCCCCCACCCTGAGAAACCTCCAGAGCATCATAGTTGTTCCCATCTCGCCTCTTCAGATGGCTCCAGATGTTTTCAAAAGGGCTCACAGAGAGCCTCAGGACGGGCCCTGGAGGGGCCCGAGACGGCCCCGAAGAGGGTCCCAAGAGAGAGGCTCAAGAGGGCTTTAATGCGGCTCCAAGCCACCACAAACTCGAAGAGGCCAACAGCGTCAAGCGTCTTTGGCGCACAACAGGCCCTTAGAGGCCCCCACTGGGCCTCCAGGCGCTACCAGGCGGCCCACCAGAGGTCCCCAGAAGGCTTTGCCGGGCGAGGGTGGAAGTCTCCCAGCGTCGGGTACAGTGGAGGCCCGTGCCCAGAAACACCCTGCTTGCCGCCAGGCTGCCCTGGGTTCCGGGGGGATTCGATGGTTTTGCTATGGAAGGCGTGACGCTCCCGCGCCAAACATCAAGGGACGTCCGGGGGTCTCAGGGTTGGGTTTCTTGTGAAAGGTTTCTTGTGGACTGGCCTCCACTGTAGGGGATGAAGGGGGGGTGGAAGAGGAAGCTCGCTAAACCACCTACGCCCAGAGGACTGGTGGGATGGTGCACCCCCAGGTAGCAGATGGGTGTGCGTTCATGCACGCGGACCACCTGGCCGTTGGTGCCAAATCCACGTTCAGCGACGCCCTGTCCATGTTCAACCCGAATCCCGTGACGCTGTACGATCCGTTCAATTGCCACAAGAAGAAAGGGGGGCAGCAGTGCTCCAAAAGTGGGGCAAGCTCGATTGTGACAAGGGTTGACTACTGCGTTGACCAGATCGAGAAGGTTCGGATGCAAGTGGACAGGACAAAATGGATGCTGGAGTATCCGAGAGATCATGTGTTGAGGGACAAGGTGGTGTGCATCTGATGAAAGCATGCTGTTCTCTGCTTCCAGGAAGGTGACCTGTGCAGGAGTGAGCGCCCTCTGGTGGGGACGGGCGCGAGCTCAAAGCCCACTCGACAGCTGGCCAGGATGACAAAATCGCTCGGCGCGGAGATCCCCAAATTGTGAATACCCTTTTCTAAGCAGCGGCAATGGAATTGTGTCAGTGTGAGTCAGTCTGCTCGTGAGATTTCTTATGATTGAGCCTGAGTGCGAGTGGGTCTGAGTATATATTGGGCGCATCTAGTTAGCACCAATCGACCAAGAGTAGTTAGCACCGCGTGCTCATATTGCCGATCGAGGAAAACGCAGTGCATCAAGCTTGTGTTGGCATTCCCGATCTGGAAAAGAGGGTCGTTGTTGTGTCTGCGAAATGCTTGCTCCATTCCTGATCTTTACTGTGCGTGCTGCCTGCAGGAGGGGGGTGGATGATCGGCGGTAGCAGCAGCACATGGTACAGCACAGGCTGGCAGTGGGGGGGGAGGGATCGAGCACCAGCTTCCCGCGCTGCGTCCGGTCGTGCCGGCGTGGAGGAGCGCCGTTCTCGCCCGTTTCGTGGCCGCTCGGGGCAGGAGGAGGAGGAGGAGGAGGAGGAGGAGGAGG